CAAAGAGATGAATCCACAGTCACAGTAGGAGACTTTAATAGACCTCTTTCAATCACAGAACAACTGGAAAGAAACTCAACAAAGACGCAGAAGAACTAAACAATATGATCAACCAACTTGACCTTGTAGGCACCTACAGAGCACTTCACCCAACAACAGCACAATATACATTCTTTTCCAGTACACATGGAACATTCTCCAGGATAGACCATATGTTAGATCACAAAGCAAGCCACAATAAATTTAAAAACATAGAAATATTGCAAATCATCTTCTCAGATGACAATGATGTAAAATTAGAAATCAACAATAGGAAGATCAACGGAAAAAGAGCAAACACATGGAAACTGAATAACATCCTCATTGAAAAGGACTGGGTAATCAAAGAAATAAAAAATGAAATTAAAAAATTCCTTGAATCAAACAAGAATGAAAAAACAACATATCAAAATCTTTGGGATATAATAAAAGCAGTGATCAGAGGCCAATTTATAGCAATAAATGCACATATCAAAAAAGAATAAAGAGTCAAAATCAACACCTTAACCTAACATCCCCCAAAATTAGAAAAAAAGCAGCAAAAAAAGTCTACAGTCACCAGAAGAGAAATAATGAAGATTTGAGCAAAAAGAAATGAAACAGAAAATAGACAATAGAAAAAAATCAACAAGACTAGAAGTTGGTTCTTTGAAAAGATTTATAAAAGAGACAAATCACTGGAAAATTTAACAAAAGAAAAGGAGAGAATACAAATAATACAAATAAGAAATGAATTGGGTGACACCACAACAGAGCCAACAGAAATTAAAAGGATAATATCAGGATACTAGGAAGAACTATAGTTCAACAAATTTTAAAATCTTGAAGAAATGGACAGATTTCTAGAAACGTACTACTTACCTAAACTAACAGAGGCTGAGGTGGAAAATTTAAACAGATCCATAACAAAATAAGAAATTGAACAGGTGACAAAAAGGTTAACAACAAAAAAAGTCCTGGACCAGACAGTTTTACTGGAGAATTCTACTAAATGTTCAGAGAAGAACTGACATCAATCCTACTCAAACTATTCCAGAACACAGAAAAGGATGCAATCCCCCAAATTCATTCTATGAAGCAAGCATAACCTTGATACGAAAACCAGGCAAAGACATCACTAATAAGGAAAACTATATACCAATATCCCTCATGAATATAGATGCAAAAATCTTCGACAAAATCCTAGCCAACAGACTCCAACAGCATATCAAAAACATAATACATTATGACCGAGTGGGGTTCATACCAGGTATGCAAGGATGGTTCAACACAAGAAAAACAATCAACATCATCCACCACATAAATAAAACAAAGCAAAAGAACCACATGATCTTATCAATCAATGCAGAAAAGGCATTTGATAAAATCTAGCACTCTTTCTTGATAAAAATTCTTAGCAAAATTGGAATAAAAGGGAGATTCCTCAACATAATAAAGGGTACATATGCAAAACCAACAGCCAACATTATTCTCAACAAAGACAAACTGAAACCATTCTCCTTGTGAACAGCAACCAGACAAGGATGCCCTCTATCACCACTTCTATTCAACATTGTATTGGAAGTCCTAGCCATGGCAATAAGGCAAGAAAGGGAAATCAAAGTCATCCAAATTGGTAAGGAAGAAGTCAAACTACCCCCATTTGCTGATGACATGATCCTATACATAGAAAACCCAAGAGACTCAGCAAAAAAACTACTGAAAGTGATCGAGAGATTTAGCATAGTGGCGAGATACAAAATCAACATACAAAAATCAGTTGGATTCCTCTACACTAGCAAAGAGATTGCTGAAAAGGAAATAAGGAAATCAATATCACTTACAATAGCTACCAAAAAAATAAATTACTTGGGAATAAATCTCACTAGGGACACAAAAGACCTGTACAAAGAAAACTACAAATCACTACTTCAAAAAACCATAAGAGATCTACATAAATGGAATAACATACCATGCTTGTGGATAGGAAGAATGAACATTGTGAAAATGTCAATACCACACAAAGCAATCTATTCATTCAATGCAATCCCAATCCAGATCCCATCAGCTTCTTTAAGGATGCGGAAAAACAATAAATATTTTTATATGGAAAATAAGGAAACCTCAGATAAGCAAAGCACTACTGAAGAAGAAGAAAGTGGGAGGTCTCACACTCCCAGATCTCAAAACCTACTGTACTGCCACAGTAGTCAAAACAGCCTGGTACTGGTACAACAACAGACACATAGACAAGTGGAACAGAATTGAGAACCCAGAAATAGATCCATCGACCTATGGTCAGCTGATCTTTGACAAAGAGCCTAAATCCATTAAATGGGGAAGAGATTGTCTGTTTAATGAATAGTGCTGGCAAACTGGATATCCATTTGCAGAAAAATCAAAGATCTGTACCTCACACCATACACAAAAACTAACTCCAGATGGATCAAAGACTTAAGTGTGAAACATAAAACTATGAAGTTCCTCAAGGAAAAAATAGGGGCAAATTTACCGGCCTAGTGGTATAGTCCCTAGGAGACTTGAGTGCTAACCAGAAGGTTGGCAGCTCAAACCCACCAGCCATTCCTCGGAAGGAAGATTGAGCAATCTACTTCTGCAAAGATACTGCCTCAGAAACCCAAGGAGGGGTCGCTATGAGTTGGAGATGACTTGATGGCACATAATAATAACAACAATAACAACAATTTATGGCATAAATAGACCATCAAGCATAACCTAAAATGCACAAACAGCTGAAGATAAACTAGATGAATGGGACCTTCTAAAAATTAACTTTTTATGTGCTTCAAAAGAGTAAAAAGAGAACCTACAGATTGGGAAAAAATATTCAGCAATGACATATCTGACAAGGAACTTATCTCTAAAATTTATTGAAAACTCCAATATTTCAACAACAAAAAGATTAACAATCCAATTTAAAAATGGGCACAAGACATGAATAGATACTTCACCAAAGTGGTTATTCAGACGGCCAGCAAATACATGAAGAAATGTCCATGGATCATTAGCCATCAGAGAGATACCATCTCACCCCAGCACTAATGGCAAAGTTCAACAAGACAGAAAATAACAAATGCTGGTGAGGATGTGGAGAGATTGAAACTCTCATACACTGCTGGTGGGATGTAAAATGATACAACCAATGTGGAAAGCCGTATAGTGATTCCTTAAAAGGCTGGAATTAGAAATAACCATTTGACCCAGCAATCCCATTACTAGGTATATATCCTAAAGAAGTGAGAGCCAGGACAAAAACAGATAAATGCACAGTCATGTTCATCGGAGCACTATTTGCAATAGCAAAAAGATGGAAACAGCCTATGTGCCCATCAACAGAAGACCATCAACAGAAGAATGGATAACCAAACTATAGTACATACACACAATGGAATACTATGCAACACTAAAGAATACTGTAGAATCTGCAAAACATCACATAACATGGATGAACTTGGAGAGCATTAGGCTGAGTGAAATAAGTCAATCACAGAAGGACAAATATAGTATTAGTTCATTATTGTAAAAAGTCAAGGAAAGGTTTATATATGGAAGGAAACTTTCTTTGGTGGTTACCAGGGGTAGGAGGGGAGGGGAAGGAACACTGCAAAAA